CTACAACTCTCCTTCTCTTTTTAACCATCCAATATGGGAGGAAACTCCCTTCTATGGGCATGGTTCCTATGATAGAAGAACACTCCCAAAATATCTACTCAATCTCCTTCAACTTCATCTCAAACTATTACTCATAAACACTTCCCATAAAGGAAATACCCAACAAACATAACATAATTACTCTTCTCAACTCAATTTCTCAACAAGTAGACATATATCTCTACTCAATTTCTCAACAAGTAGACATATATCTATACTCAATTTCTCAACAAGCATCATATATACATGCATAAATAAATCTCTACTTAAGAATTTCTTAAACTTTAGCTTGAGTTGGATTTACTTACCTCATACTTGAGTAGTCTCCACTAAAGCTCTCTACTCTTGTTGGAACATAGCTTTCACTTATTTCCTCTTCTTGCTAAGGATCAACTCTTTGTCAAATCCCAACTCAAAACTCTCAAAAATCCCTTGGAAGATTGAGTGAGGAATTGAGAGAAAATGAGGGATAAAGAGGCGGTGGAAATGGGTGAAATGAATGGGTTTAGAAAACTCAACCCTTATTAGCTCATATAATATACACTCTTTCCCATTTTACCCTTACTCTTTCTTGAAATTTCCACCTTTATCCTTTGATTCTTTACAAACTCACCCCCATTTTACACTATTCTCCATGAAATTTCCTTGCATTTTACTCCCCACTTTTCTTGCTAATTAGGGGTAGAATGGTCATTTTACCCCTATGGAGAATTCTCTAGAAACCTCAAGAACTTTTTGTCGCCCCGACGAAACAATCCAGAACCGACACCGCCAACACAGAACCAACGTCATCGCAGTGAAGCTTCTCCCTCGCCTCGGCAAAGACTGCAACTCCAAAATCCGCTAAGTCTTGATCAATTCCAAGGTAAACACTCAACCAAACCCAAAACATAAACAATATACAACCTCATTTAGGGGTAATTCAGTAACCCTTTATGCAATACCATAAACAATGGCTACGTATCTCAAGTAGGGCGTTACATCTCCCTTCAATCAAGTCTTCCAGCATGTGAAGTCTTCATCTTAGTACCTGCTGACAGACCAATGGTCAACCACTTAAATAGGTACGAAAGGTAGTACTTCTCACTAAATGACTTGTACCACATAGAGAGATGAGACGATTTGTTACAGAAAATGGCATTGTCAGTAGAGCATTAAGGCCGGCTTCCAATTCCAAAGCTTGGTCCTTGGTCAACGAATGAATGAACACCTCCGCTAAGGCAGTTCCTTCAGTTGACCAGGGAATGAACTAATAACGAAATGACTCAGTTCTAGGATCGAGGGGTTTCTTGAGTCGCCTTTCGAGTTGTTCATCTTCTGCCAAAGATCAAAGAACGAACCTTGCCCATTCCTCGGCACAGCGAGGTAGCATTAAGGGCTGGCTAAACGAATACATCTTCTGGCAAAGTGATTGTAAACGAAGCTGCTTCTAGCGGCATTCTTCCTCTTTTTTTCTTCTTCAGAAGTAGCTCGAACTATCTCTGCAAGCCCAGAAGCAGCTCAATTCCCTTCTTTCTCCCCGTAAGCTCTATGATATGAATGGTATGGAATTCTTAATGGAATACCTTCATGTCGCTTTGAAATGAAAGGAAACTCGTCGCCTTGCTGGTCTAAACCCAGTGGAAAGCATTCGTCTTTGGACCCAGCTGCGAGTGTGATTTGATCCCTAACTGGAGAAGATGCCTTAAAAGCCTTGCTAGTGGTCCTGTAAGCGAGAAATGGAATTTTCTATCTTTTGAGCTCCTTCTTCGAAAAGTTGGTTTTGGCCAGTTCACCGGGGAGGAGCAACTCCTTCCTCTGGGAATGTGTTAGTATCACGCTCTTCTTTCCTACCTTCACGCCAGGTGTCTGACCTCTTATACTAGTCATTCGGCATCGTAGATAGGTTGCTGAAGAAGGAACATTGCCCAGATCATTGTCAAGTGGGACCAGAAAGCTAGGCGAATTAGCACATTCTTTTAGCTCGGACAAAGTCTTTATTCTTTGCTTTGATTAGTGATATGGTTCAGTAGAGGAAAGGAAGAGGAATGTAAGTAAAGAAATATCTTCCCGTAACCATAGGAATATAGCTCCATATAGGAGCTTCTTGAAAGAAGTTGTTCCAAAGACTTAAATCAGATGAAAGTGTTAATTCCCCCTTATTCTCAGAAGAGAAGAAAAGAATGAGAATGGATCGATGGATGACCATTTGTTCTTAAGAATTCGGAACCCAATCATAATATCTTAGTTAGCTAAGATATTATGATTGGGTTGATCCATATCGGGTCTCACCTAGATCGTTACCACGAGTCTAGGACAGAAAGAGGCTCTCTGCTTACTTCGGAGGTCTCTTTCTCCAAGTCTTCTTCTATCGGACGAGCATACCGAAGAGATATGAATGTGCAATTAAGTTCTTCCATAGCCAATAAGAGATTCTCTTCGATCCTTAATCTCATCCTAAGGGAAACCTACTTAGCGGGATGATCTTTGCTTTGGATGATGGATCTTCAGGTTCTCAGGTCCACTAAGCAGAAGGCGGGAGCGGGATCAAGGTAATATCCTCGAGTAATCTTCCTCCTGCCTGCAATCAATCGTAGCCGAGCAAAAGCGAAACTTCTGCTACTCGCGTCGCCCTACTCGCAGAACAGACAATGGCACTTGCCGTAGAGATATCTTTCCAATTCGCCTCCAGTCTCTTTTCTTTCTTCAATCAATCAATTTCCCTTGCATCAAACAATCACCGTTGCTTTGACGAAAGAAATGAATGTAGGAGTAATGAGAGCTGCAGTCTAATGCTCTTCCGAAGTGAATGTCGAAAGTGTCAAAGATTGCATTTTGGTGCAAGAATAGAACCGCTAGTGTGACGGTTGTTCCAATCCGATAAGCCTCTATTCTCCATGACTCTAGGGCTAAATCTTGAGACAGGCAGAATGTTTGTTAAGCACAGAGAGCTCTCGTTCCTGCCATTCATTAATATCGTGATTCATTCCCCTCAGAAATGGAAAAGCATTTCGGTATCAAGTTGATAGAGAAGTACTTAATGTCCCAGAAGGAAGAATGTCAGTCAGACTGAGACATAAAAAGGCCATAAAATAAAGCATTAGATCTAGCTCAGACCTCAGTCTCAGGTAGCTGTTGGAAAGGACATACAAAGAGGGGAACTTGAGCATTTCAAGCAATTCCCACTGGATCTCGGTTCACATCACACCTTGCTTCAACCAATCCTTCTACTTGAGTCTTTGGCAGAAAAGAAAGCTACAACTAGGTTTGCTTATAAAGTGACCGTCTTCTCTAGTGGGAATTCAGATCCTGAATAACTAAATAGATTCAGCTGAACATGCTTCGAGACATCGACCCTATGGTCAGAATCTTCAATCTGGAAGCTTTGCTAGTGCATTAGGCCAACGAGACATGTCCAAGATGCTACTATTGCAAGAAGCCAGGTCACATGATTGCAGACTCTCGCAAGCGACATAATGCAAACTCTTGTCGACAGTCAGACACAGCTCATCTTGCTACTCCCCCGGAGATGCCTACTGAATCAGAAACTTACCAATCCCGTTACTCCATAGGGCCTCTGAAGCATTACTTCTATGATCTTAGGAGCACTCCCACGCCCGACACAGATAGTTTGACCCCATGACAGCGGAAGCAGATTTAGAGGTTAAATCCATCTTGTCATATCTTTTCCTTCTACAGGTATTGGCTCCCCCTTACACTTACAACATAGGGGGCTGCTTACTTTCTTCGGGTGCATCGAAGAAGATGACTGGTGATTCTTCACTTCTTTCTTCTCTTCGTTCTCCATCTAAGTTCCTTATTGTTTAAACTGCAAACTCCGAACAATTCCCTCTAACAAGTCTTGGTACTCTGTCTCGTTATCATCGAATATGTTCTGCTCTTTTTCATCTTCCTGCTCTCCGTGAATCTTCTTTCCGGCTTGAAAAAAAAATGCTTATATTCAATTCTCTCCTACCTCCTGTCTTATAGAGGATCATCCGAGAGGTCTTTTATAAGGGGATTGGGAAGGACCGTAGAGTTGGCAAGCTCTCTTTTTTGGAGAAACTTCGTTTACCTCAGTCTTTTGCCTTTTTTGCTGTGTCTGGTGTTGTTTCCTCTACTCCCATTTTTTTGTTGTGGCATCATAGATTAGGACATGTCTCCAGCCCAAGACTTAGATATTTTATTTCTACTGGAATGTTGGGGTCTGTACCTAACATTGAGATTTCTACTTATATGGGTTGCAAGCTGGGAAAAAAGTCGGCCCTACCCTTCCTATTTTTAAAACTCTCTTTCTACTTCTCCTTTTGATCTTGTGTCCGAAGCCAATCCTGCCTCTCTGTTATCAAAAGGAGATCATCCGTATATGTCATTTTTGACAGAACAATGAAAAATTTGACTAAAATCAAGGTTTTCCGTTCTGATTCTTGAGGTGAATATATCTTCGCTGCCTTCCGAACTCTGCTTGCTTAAACTCACTTCACTTACAAAGCACTTTCCCAACGATCCTGCCTCTACACTCCTCAGCAAAATGGAGTTGTCGAGCGGACGCCATATATTGGAGACAGCTCGCTCTCTCTTGCTCTCAACTTCTGTCCCCAATCAATTTTTGGCTGAAGCAGTTCTGACTGCCGTATATTTTTTGAATCGAATACCTTCCTCTGTCATCTCTGGTCTCTCTCTTTTTGAAAGAAGATTTTCTACCCCGCATGACTATGAAGAGCTTCGAGTCTATCGAGAGAGGATATGGTGGTAACTCCCGCAGCTTCGTCTAGAGCCAGGCATCTAGCCTCGATTTACATTCGAGGGGAATTAGATGAGAAGAGAATGTACATCGAGAAGAGGAGAAAGGCAGGACACGCAGGCCCTATTTAATAAAATACAACCATACATACCCAAAAATAATTAAAACATTCACCCTTAGGTCTAAGGCTCATGTACCGGGCACCATACAATATACAAACAAGTACAAAGCATACATTTCAAAAACAATCAATTTCTGAAATTTNAGTTGGTGCTGGATCAGACGCCTTGGGTGGTTGTGGCTTCTGTTTCGGTGGTGGGTCGACAATAACAACTTTTGGTTTTGTTGGTTTGGGATCTTCTGGCTTCTCTGCCTCTTTCTTCTTCTCGGGCTCTTTAGGTTTTTCCTTTTCGGGTTCTTTCTTCTTCTCGGGCTCCTTGGGCTTTTCCTTCTCTGGTTCTTTCTTCTTCTCGGGTTCTTTAGGCTTTGCAGGTGGCTTGATTTCGATACTCTTGACTGCTTTACCGCCTTTGCAGCATATCTTTTGCATCAATCTATCAGGACAGCAGGTAACCACTTTTATCGTCACCGTGTTTTGCTTCTCGTCGTAAACTTGGTCTCGTATCTCTGCCAATAGCACGTCCCTAAAGTTCAGAATCAAACGCACAAGTAAACACAAAGAAAGAAACAAAGGAGAGAAACTTACCTGGAAATTTACAAAGCACTTTCTTCACTTTCTTGTAACACTTTGAGCACTGGAGGTCAACTTTCAGCAGCATTATCGTAACCTGCAAAGATTGCCGATTTCGTTAATTCCTTGGTGCTCGTTCCAAATTCGAAGTAGTATCATTTGTACAGATAAGAAAACAGTTTAATGGTGATGACAGTGTAAGAATGATAAACTATGCTTAATCAGAAATATAAGAAAGAAGAATACAAACCTCTGCCATTTCTGTGAGTGCTCAGATCTGAACCTCGGAGCACAAAGAAGAGTGATAGATTATTATTTATTATGGAGTGGAATGATAAGAGAGAGAGTTCAAGAATCTTCTGTACATGAATTAATTAAGCCAAATTGCCTGTTAAGAAGAAGAAGTTAAAACACTACATCATTTCTTAATAAACAATACAATATTCAGATCAAATTTGTAGGTGATTGATGATGATTGGAGAAACCTTGACGAATAAACAAGGTACATTTGTGAGGTGAGGGTCTCCCATATTACGTAGACATATTTGGGCTCTCCAAATTACTCTAAAAATCTTCATTCAATTAAAGTTTAATTAGATTCTAACACTGTGTAGATATAAGTTTGAAAAGTTAGACAAATCTTGATTACATGTTACCTTTTTTGCATAAAAAAAAAAAAAAAAAAAAAAAACCGTGTATCTTTACCTATATTTATATCAATTCATTAATTGATATTTCATTTAAATAGTAATTTCACGTCACTTTGTATTCATTTATAAATATTAATAAGAGACTTTGTATTAGTGTTACTCTTTCTAAAATGTAAATATAGCATCAAATCGCTGAAAGGCCTTGAAGATAGAAAACCATAATGATTTCAAACTTCACTTCAATAGTCTCGTATCCATGCTACCTCGACTCTAAACTCGATGTTTGTTAACGTTGACTAAGTGGGACATTCCCAAACTCTTTCTTATCAAACCCCTTTCTTGTTCCCTTGTACAGCCTTTACCAGACCTTTTTCATCATGTGTTCTGCCAAAGAAGAAGTTCCTGTCTGCCTGCTCAGATATTGCATCAAAAACAAGGATTTTTTATACATCGAAATAAACATTCATGTTAGTATCTTTATCTCCTATAGTCACAAACTTTATGCACTAGTTTGCAAAGTCGGTTCCTGCATCGATCGTGCTGATATTTTCCCACGCGTTCCTTGTGTAGAAAAACACAATTTTCCTATAGGAAGATAAGGGAGAAAAAAAGGAAGCCAACAAGAAACGGTACCTTTTACAAAATTATTGAATTACAATATTTCCACCCTCACAAAAACTTATCAAAGAAGAGAAAGACACACGCTCACACCCACAACCACAAAAACTTATTAAAAAAGAGAAAGACACATGCCCACACCCACAAAAACTTATCTATGAATATTCCACGTAATTAACAAACCATCATGAAAGAAAATCAAACTAGAATATTGATCGATAACCATATGCATCGATCAAACATAATGTGATTACATAATCGAGCAAGGTTCTTCACAATAATTGTAATAACCACAACGATTCCTGCAATAATAACCCCTGTTGCAACCACAATTACAACCACTAACCCAACTATCACAAACTGGCCTTCCAGAACATGGAGTTCTCCCACAAACAATCTGTTCACACGATCCCCCACACGGATGTGGTTTCGTTGGTTCCTTCGGTTTCTCTTGTGGCTTCTTAGGCTCTTCTGGCTTCTTAGGCGGCGGTTTGATTTCTATACTTAGGATTGACTTACCGCCCTTGCAGCGGATCTTTTGCAATATTTTTTCAGGGCTGTAGCAACACGCCACTTTTATAGTAACTGTGTTTTGCTTCTCATCGTATACTTGATCTTTTATTTCTATATATCAAAGTTAAAGAGAATTAATCAAATCCAATAGCTTACATATTCATGCACAAATATAAACACACACACACAGAGACTCACGTGGGATTTTACACAGTACTTTCTTGACTTTCTTGTAGCACTTGCAGCATTTCAGGTCAACTTTGATCACCATTGTCGTAACCTCCGCCATCTTTGAGAGTGTTGATAGGATCTGAACCTCAAAGCATAAGGATCAAGACTGGTTATTAGTTATATATAGACTTGAATAGGTTCTCTTAAGTAATAATTAATTAAGCCAAATTGCATTTGAAGGACAGTTAATTACAAAATTAAAGCCCGACTGTCTGGTGACGTTCTCCAACTGACGTAGGCTTATTGACCCTATATGTATATATTCACAATCCTGCTCTCATACCTTTGATTATTCCACACGTCAATCAGCATCATGCATTTCAATTTCTCCGTTAGTCTTCACTCTTCCCATCAACTCTTCTCCATCATCTTCTCTAATTCAACTAAAAATTGGCAAAATTGAAGCATAGAGATGTAATCGATGACCTCAGTCAACCGATATTCAAATGAAGGATAGCGACTTCACTAATCATAANCTTCTCGTCGTAAACTTGATCTTTTATTTCTATATATCAAAGTTAAAGAGAATTAATCAAACCCAATAGCTTACATATTCATGCACAAATATAAACACACACACACACAGACTCACGTGGGATTTTACACAGTACTTTCTTGACTTTCTTGTAGCACTTGCAGCATTTCAGGTCAACTTTGATCACCATTGTCGTAACCTCCGCCATATTTGAGAGTGTTGATAGGATCTGAACCTCAAAGCATAAAGAGCAAGACTGGTTATTAGTTATATATAGACTTGAATAGGTTGTCTTAAGTAATAATTAATTAAGCCAAATTGCATTTGAAGGAGAGTTAATTACAAAATTAAAGCCCGACTGTCTGGTGACGTTCTCCAACTGACGTAGGCTTACTGACCCTATATGTATATATATTCACAATCCTGCTCTCATACCTTTGATTATTCCACACATCAATCAGCATCATGCATTTCAATTTCTCCGTTAGTCTTCACTCTTCACATCAACTCTTCTCCATCATCTTCTCTAATTCAACCAAAAATTGGCAAAATTGAAGCATAGAGATGTAATCGATGACCTCAGTCAACCGATATTCAAATGAAGGATAGCGACTTCACTAATCAGAAGTGGACATGGTCGATGGACCTGCAAAAAAGAATTATAACTTTGCAGTCAGGCTGCTGGTTGTGATAATGTTACTTTATTAATGGCGTCAACTTGTTGAAATTTTCGTCAAGAAATTATATAAAAAATATTCATTTCAATCGACTTCGCTTCTCTCTGGCCTCTTCCCACCGTCTATTTATTCTCCAAGTCTATATCCATCCAACTCCATACAATTACTTTAACATTTATGTCAAATTGTCAATTAGGTAAGAAAGGGAAGATAACACTTATAGCTAGTATGGAAATTATTGGGTTACATTTATTTATTTATTTTCTTTTAAATTCGGATACATATTTGCTGATTGTAGTGCATTGAGCCTTTACCAATCAATCCTGATAGCAACCAAACACATCACTTTCTGTTATTTGATGAATCAACCAAATCAAAATAATCGATCCCTATCTTCCTTTTCCGCATGGTGAGAGGAGAATTGTGTCTGGTTCAATCCTTCTTCCTTCTTCATGTTTTCTCAATGATTTGTTTTCGATACATCTTTATTACCTATACCTAGAAAGGATATATCTCTTTGAATTAGTAGACATCAAAATATTTAGAAAGAGGAGGAAAAGGAAATGCACTATGGAAAAGTATTAATGGAGAACAGTAAGTTGTACCGACTATCTTAATCCATATCCTTTGGACGCAAATTAAAATTTAAAAAATGATTTATGAAGTGAAATGTTATAGTCATTTTTTTTTTTTATATTTTAACAATCCAAAAACCCTTTGTGAAACTAACGAAGTAGATACTGATTGAAAAGATACATACCGACCAATAAAAATATGGATAATATTTCAACGTAGGATGCGTCGAAACCCTTCTAACAAAGTAGATACTGATGAAAAGACTTGACACCCACCTTTAAAAATATGTTGTCTTGTGTCACATATGGATAAGATTTCAAAATAGAATATGTCCAGGGAGACAACGACAAATGATGCATGCACCACCTTTGCTTTAGATGATTCTGCAAGCTGCATTAGGATTCTCTTCGCAAAAGTAATCACATATATTAACTCTGTAACAACCGCCACCGCCACTCCCACCCCAGCTATCGTAAACCGGCCTCCCGTAATATCCGTCATAACATATTGACGGTCCCCCCCTCCTCACGCTCCTCGTAGCATTCCCTGCAACACGTTGGGTTCGAATAAGCCGGTGGTCAACAAAAGTAACCTTACTGGCTTGTCTTGTTTTGCCGGCGGGTGGTTTCTCTTTCCGCTTTGGAGGTTCTTTTGGCTTCTTGGGTTCTTTAGGCTTTTCAGATTCTTCCGGCAAGGCGGGTTCTTTAGGCTTGGGTGGAGGTAGAATTTCAATACTCTTGATTGAATCACCACCTTTGCAGTTAATCTTTTGCTTGATCTTCTCAGGACTACAGCATACCACTTTGATCGTCACTGTGTTCTGCTTCTCGTCATACACCTGGTCTTGTATTTCTGATCTTTTTCACAAAAATCAAACATTCCTTCTACATTAATTACACACATACTTCAAATTCATTAACAAAGAGAACTAGTGACTTTCCAATATTTACCTATATTTCTAATCACCAATCCAAGTTATTTTCATGAATTAATGTTTTGCTTTTGTTAGGTTTCGTCGGTTGATGTGGAAAATGCTACCCTTACCCACCTTTGTTTGGAGTATTATTAATATTCAACAGATTTTGTACCAGACCCCTTGACTTTTAGTTTAGGCAGAGCCCATATTTTGTGGGTTAAGTATGTTAATTAAGTAATTATCATATGATGACAAATTAAGTTTGTCCATGTGATATATGGATTAATATAATATGCATTTATGAGGGATCGATACAGAGGAGGAATGAGTTCAAGCAAACTGTTTTTCTTCTTTCAGTTAAAAAAAGAAAATTAAATATTGCCTATAAGATAATTTAAACTTGGTTGAATGTAAGNTCTTGTGTCACATATGGATAAGATTTCAAAATAGAATATGTCCAGGGAGACAACGACAAATGATGCATGCACCACCTTTGCTTTACATGATTCTGCAAGCTGCATTAGGATTCTCTTCGCAAAAGTAATCACATCTATTAACTCTGTAACAACCGCCACCGCCACTCCCACCCCAGCTATCGTAAACCGGCCTCCCGTAATATCCGTCATAACATATTGACGGTCCCCCCCTCCTCACGCTCCTCGTAGCATTCCCTGCAACACGTTGGGTTCGGATAAGCCGGTGGTCAACAAAAGTAACCTTACTGGCTTGTCTTGTTTTGGCGGCGGGTGGTTTCTCTTTCGGCTTTGGAGGTTCTTTTGGTTTCTTGGGTTCTTTAGGCTTTTCAGATTCTTCCGGCAAGGCGGGTTCTTTAGGCTTGGGTGGAGGTAGAATTTCAGTACTCTTGATTGAATCACCACCTTTGCAGTTAATATTTTGCTTGATCTTCTCAGGACTACAGCATACCACTTTGATCGTCACTGTGTTCTGCTTGTCGTCATACACCTGGTCTTGTATTTCTGATCTTTTTCACAAAAATCAAACATTCCTTCTACATTAATTACACACATACTTCAAATTCATTAACAAAGAGAACTAGTGACTTTCCAATATTTACCTATATTTCTAATCACCAATCCAAGTTATTTTCATGAATTAATGTTTTGCTTTTGTTAGGTTTCGTCGGTTGATGTGGAAAATGCTACCCTTACCCACCTTTGTTTGGAGTATTATTAATATTCAACAGATTTTGTACCAGACCCCTTGACTTTTAGTTTAGGCAGAGCCCATATTTTGTGGGTTAAGTATGTTAATTAAGTAATTATCATATGATGACAAATTAAGTTTGTCCATGTGATATATGGATTAATATAATATGCATTTATGAGGGATCGATACAGAGGAGGAATGAGTTCAAGCAAACTGTTTTTCTTCTTTCAGTTAAAAAAAGAAAATTAAATATTGCCTATAAGATAATTTAAACTTGGTTGAATGTAAGTTTCTTAGTGTTGTAAGTGGTAAACTTTCACCAATTTGGCAAATGGCCTATGCAAGTCCAATCGAAGACAGATGAATTATGATTTGTTATTAGATAATTAGCCTTATAAGAGGTGGATTGGTGAGAAAAGACTATAAATTGAGCTCATCTCCTTCATTTTGTTTCTAAACTCAATTATGAGAAAAAGTTAATAAAAGGTTCTCCTTTCTGCCCTCTTTATTCTACTTTTCTATTTCAGTCCCTGTTAGTTTATTTTATCACAATTACACCACTAAGAACTAAGAAGTGAGATTATAACACTTTGAGAAGTTTTGAAATTTTTCTCACCGACATTCATTTTCCTTGCATTTTAAGTCTAAAATGTAGCATATTTATATGGTTAAATAAGAATTCAATGTTAATATACTGTTACTGTTTACAATATGATACTGCAAAATTTTCAATCCCAGTTCTTATAACAATGTGGAATTATGAATTAGTATTTTTTACAAATGTGAACCTCTAACTAACAATGTCTATAAATTTAAATCAACTCATTAATTATTATGCAATGCTCTAAAGATTGGATCGGGCCTTGACCCAATCAAGAGACCAATTCACGGTTTGATCGGTCGGACCGATGACATCACCAACCAAATTTAAAAAAAAATTATAAATAAGTCCTTTAAATTTTAGTATATTGCAAAATGCCTCTAAAAATTGTAAATTATCCCTAAAAGTTTAAAATATTTTAAAAAGTGCCCAAAAATCATAATTATTTCCTAAGGTTTTTTAAATACTGCAAACACTCTTGAAAAATTATGAATTATCCCTATAGGTCTAAAATATAACAACCCCCCCTAGAACCTGAATCGTACCAGAGAGGCTACCATTTCCTAATCCGACTTACTAGTCTAGTTCAGTTTTCAAAACACTATTGTTATCTCATTTAAAGAGTAATATCACATTATTTTGTATTACTCTCAGTAAGAAGACTTT